TACCAACGCTGTTGTTGACAAAGTTGCTGAGAACATAGTTGATCGGATTTTAAATTTTATTTTAAATCCAATCACTGTTGTGCGCAAGTGCAACGAGAATGTTCAGAATCTGAAGAAACATGTTGACGAGCTGAAGACTGAAATGGAGCATGTGGAGAACTATAAAAAGGATGTTAGCAGAACAGGGAAAGGTGTGGATGTGAAGATCCGGAATTGGCTGGATAGTGCAGGCAAGCTCATTGAAGCTGGAGAGAAATTAAAAGGGGTTGGTGATGAATTTGCCAAGGAGTGTTTCTTTCGGCTGTGTCCCAAATCCATTCCTCGTTACAAGCTCAGCAAGGAAGCAGAGAAGAATTCCCAGGATATTGTTCAACATCTGGAAGTAGCTCGTGGATTCGGCCCCCTATCACTTTCCCACGCTCCTCCTCCACAACAGGACGTGGCTACACTTGTGGAAGGTTTTGAGGAGTTTCGTTCGAGAAAGGTTGTTTTGGACCAGATCATGGAGGCACTAAGAAGCCCAACCGTTAACGGGATCGGACTGCATGGGACTTCTGGGATGGGGAAGACGATGCTTGTAAAAATGGTTAAAGCAAAAGCCAAGAAAGACAGCTTGTTCACTGCAATAGTTATGGCTACAGTGACGAAGGACCGGGAAGTGAAAAGAATTCAAGAAGAATTGGCACGCGACTTGGGTATGGATCTTCTTCCTTTCACAACGTATACAGATCAACAAGTTGCAGATTCAATAAGGGCAGAGTTGAAGAAAGTGAAGAAATTTCTTGTTATTTTGGATGATGTATGGGAGGCTGCAATAGACTTCGAGCAATTCGGGATCCCTTCTGCAAGTGAGATGAAGCAGGAAGATATGCGCCGCAAAATTCTACTAACCTCTAGATTTCACCATGTTCTCTCCGGTATGATGGATGAGAAAGATCAGGTCTTCGAGGTACATAAATTACGAGATGATGAAGGATGGCATCTATTCAGGAAGATTGTTGGTAGCAGTGTTGAAAGCTCTAATTTTCAACCGACAGCTAAAGAGATAGTTGAGAGATGCATCGGATTGCCCGTTGCTATTGTATCTGTTGGAAAGGCCATGAAAGGGAAGACTCAACAATTTCAGTGGGAAGATGCTCTGCAAAAAATGAAAAAGCCTTCTCCAGAAGGGATATCTGCTGCAGTGTATAAGCCTATAGAGTTGAATTACAGTAACTTAGAAGAAGAGGAACTCAAGCAAACATTCATTCTTTGCAGTTTGCTGGGCCATGACTCTTCCATCGACGACTTGTTGAAATATGGTATGGGCTTGGATTTATTTCATATGGTGAATACAATAGAAGAGACACGAACTAGAGTACAGACATTGGTTAGTCATCTCAAACTGTCATCTTTGCTAGTTGAAGGTCACAGCTGTTTGCATTTTGGTATGCACGATCAGATTCGGGAGGTTGCCTTATCAATTGCTTTTAGAGACCACGGTGGTTTAGCCTTAGTAGATGATTTTGCAAAGAGAAAGTTGAAAGATGAGAAGTCATTAGAAAAATTGAAGTGGCTTTCTTTGCCATATGGTGATATTGAGCTTCCAGCCAATGGGTTCCAATGTCCGCAGCTCACTTTCTTTTATCTGTCAAACAAGGCTCAGTCTCTTGAAGTTCCATCAGAGTTCTTTAAAAGAGCTGATGGACTTAAAGTCTTGTGTTTGACTAAAGTTGACTTTAAGTCAATGCCTTTGCCAATTCCCTTGATCCCAACGAATCTTCATTCCTTACTTCTGGATCAATGTGGATTTAAAGTCGAAGACCTCGGAGCCATTATGGGGAATCTAGAGAATTTAGAGGTGCTTAGCCTTGCAGGCTGTGATATTGAAGAGTTGCCAAGAGAAATAGGGAAGTTGAGCAAGTTAAAGTTGTTAGATGTGAGTGACTGCACCAAACTGAGAGTAATTCCACGACAAGCCTTAGCAAGTTTGTCCAGATCTTTGGAAGAGCTAAAAATGGGAAACAGCTTCAATCAATGGGATGTGGAGGAAGGAAATGCTAGGCTTGATGAGTTAGCAGAGTTGCATAAGCTAACTGCTTTAGAGGTACGTATTCCTAATTTCCGAGCAATTTTGTTCCCTGAAAATCTAAGAAGGTTCAAGATTTTCTTAGAAGAACTGGAACCGGAAGTGCGGTACCCTTGGGACGGCTCTTTTGAAAGCTCAAAAAGAATGAAGCTAAAGCTACAGGGTGCAAGCATTAAATCTGATTACTCAGTTAAGAAGTTGTTGAAGAAGACAGAAGATCTGTCCCTTCAGGGATTAAATGGTGTTGAGAATTTAGTTTGTGAGTTAGATGATGAAGGTTTTCAACATCTGAAGTGTCTCCATGTCCAAAATGCTCCAGACATTCGATACATCTTTAATCCAGCAGGGAGGTTGCTTCCTTCCCATGTATTTCCCATCTTGGAGGTATTGACTCTTTTCAATTTGGTAAAAATGGAGAAGATATGTCATGGTCTGACTGGAGCAGCACCTTTTAAAGTATTAAGAAAGATAACCGTTTATGGTTGTCATCAATTGAAGAATCTGTTCTCCTTCTCCATGGCCAGACAGCTTCAACTTCAAGAAATAAGAGTAGAAAATTGCAACAACATTGAACAGATTATTGATGACGTGGAGGAACAAGGCAACGGGAATGATATCGTTGAAGAAAGTGAAGGATGTAAGCTTGGTGGCAGTCTGCGGTCCTTAACATTAAGATGGTTACCAAAACTGATTAGCTTCTTCAACAGTGGTAATTGCAGCGGCATCTCACTTTTCAACGATAAGGTACTTAATTCATTTCTTTTATTTTATTCCATTTTTTTGTTTCTTTGCGGAAGAGTAATTAGAAAATATAAAAAATTAATCTTACCGTCCTTTGTTTTTTTTTTTTGAATGGAGATTAACTAGGTTTCAAGTTTGGGCTAGGTTCAATAGCAATCCAATAGTTTTTAGCGTTTTACATTTTTATAAAATTTTTAAAGAGTTACTTCAAATTATTTTAAAAAGTACAGATGGGTAGATAACTAGACATATTTAAAAGAAAAATATATTACTCATCAAAAAGCTGAAAAATATAAGAGTATTAAAAAGGACTCAACCACCTTCCAATTTGACAACGGAGGGCACAAACTTTTATTCTATAGAAAAGCGTGGAATACAATTTTTAAATCTATTGTGCTTGATTTATTACAAAAAATTTTAATTTAATTTAATGATTTGAATTCACATGATTGTGTTTGATTTAATTAAAATTTTGTAGAATTTATTTGTAATTATACATTTTTATATACATATTTTTATTTTAAATTACATAACGTGATGTAATTATCTCCCAACTTATTATCCATTCCATTGCTCTTATTTTTATTGAAAAAAAATTATTATACTTATACCTGATTGGATTAAAAAGTATGGAGTTTAATTCTAAATCTTTTAACCAAAATAATTCCTAAACATTTAAATAAGTTAATTCAAATTCTATCAATTTTAATTATTTCTTTGATAAACATTTTTAATGAAAATTGGTAATGAAGTCTATATTTTTAATGATTACTAAATACTCTTCCATTTTGAACTTTCTCACTCTCATTCACAAATAATGAAGTTATTATTTATTAAAAAAATAATTAAAGTATGAAATACAATTGAATTTCACAAATTTTTTTTTTCGTTCAAAATAAGTATAGAATTGAGTTAAATATAAAATTTTTGCTAACCCTCACAATTTGTGAGGTCGATGACTGGAATTAGTCTAACAAATTTCACGATTTATAAGTTTACAATTAAATTCCACACTTTTTAATTAAACCAAACATAATAAATATAGGTCAACAAAAAGAACAACATAAGTATAGAATTATAAATGACTTTCACAAAACTTTGATAAAATTAAACATAAGGGTATGAATTATGGAATTCAAATAACCAGAATTTAAAAGTTTTTAATCAAACTAAATACAATGATGATATAGATTTAAAAACGAATTACACAATTTTTTGTGGAATTCATTTAAAACCAAATACTAGATGTTTGGATTAACAATTCAAATCAGTAAATAACTAATAAATGATATCTCATGATCCATAATTATTATTGTATATAATTTAAATTTTTTTAATTTAATTAGTCTAAACTACTCATTATTAATTTCAAATCTCTATACTAAATACTCTTACAATGGGACAAATAAAAACGTGATCATATAATTTATTTGGTGCATACATATTAGAGATTAAATCTTAAACATATGAATAAAAAATACATGTAACTCTATTATCAAACTACATCATTGATGGTACGTGATAATATACATATATTTATCATACTATGTTAGGATTGTAAGTTTCCAATTCCACTTAATATATGCCATGTAAGATTTTAAACTTATAAAAACTTATTTATAATTATAATGTATTAGTAGATGAGTAAATACATACAATAATAATTATATTTTAGTATATCATGATTATAAACTAAAAATATTATGTAATATTATAAACACATAACGTAAAACAATATCGTAGTAAAAGCTAAATATAGTGCTTGCAAATTTGACAAGTCTATTAAATATGTTTCAAAACAGAAACAAAATGCATATAAAACTCCTTCTAGTCATATTTACTTGTCCTATTTTATTTATTTATGATTGCTAAGGCTCTATTTAGAATAAATGTAATTTTGAATGTGTAGTTTCGTTTTCAAAAATTTAAAATCCTTAAAATAAAATTAAGAAGATTTATAAATTAATTAATTTGACATTTTAAGTTTTAATTTTAAAAATTTATATCCAATACGTTG